CCCCCCCCCCCCCCCCCCCCCCCCCACACACACACACACACACACACACACACACACACACACATGTATTGGCAAGGAAGTAATTGCGTTTTTTTTAGCTCAAAGTTGATATACAATATCTTCGTCAAAAATGAATGAAATTTAAATAAAAAAAAGGATTTTGAAGTTTGAAATCTCTACTTTTAAAAGCCACATTTTTCGCAATTTAATCGCAATTTAAAAAAGAGATTCTCAAAGTTGAAACTTTACTCTATCAAGATATATCTATATTGGTTGGTAAGAAAGTAATTGTAGTTTTTACTGATAGATGCCTTTTAAAAAAACGCAATTACTTTCTTGCTTCTTGCCAATCCAATATATATATATATAAATATTATGGTTCCAAATTTTGCATTTTTTAAATAATTTATTATAAACATATTTTTTTATATTAATATCTTTTGAAAAATGCAAAGAAGAATGATTTTTTAATATAAAAATATAAAGTTGATTAGAATAATGATATCACCCTTAGAAAAAAAGCATTTCAATATACTGATTAACTATTCAGTAACTATAAAATATCATCAGTTACTGAATAATTAATCAATATACTGAAATACTTTTTCTTAAGGGCAAGAATTAATTAATAATATTTTTGTTGTATTCATATTTTACTTATTATTATCTAAAAAATTCTTTCAAAAACTCATTAATATCTAAAAAAAAAAGAGTGACTGAAAAAAAGTAGCTTTTTCGCTTGTTTTTGGGCTCTCAATTTTTGGGTTGAACTGTGTGCCAAATGATACCCTACAACAAGATATTAATTACAAGGAAGTTTTAAGTTGAAATGACAACTGTTATATTATAGCTGGAGGGAGGGGGGGGGGAGGGAAATATTACGCCATACTAAAATCTATTTTTTTTTACATTCATAACAAATTGATTTACAAAATTACTTTATTAATTTACCTTATTAATTTACAGAATAAGTAACGTTGAGTTGATCTTGCCTTTATCAGCTAAATCAACTGCGATCTTGTCATCTTGGCTGGATCAAAAGTACACTTGAATACAGTACAATTGCACATATCATTCACATAGATCGATTCCCAATAATTTTTAACTATTTTATCAATGAGATTATATTATTTTAAATTAGCCAATTAGCGATATGAGCAATTGATACACACCTGGTTGGATTTAATTGTCTTAAAATACTGGACCTCACAGACATACAATTCGATAATGAATTTTGATTTTACTCCCTATCTCCCAGCTTGATAATAATTATCACTTTAATTTGAAAATTTTCTGTAATTAATCTCATTATAAATTTGGCACACAGTTCAGTACCAAAATGGAGAGCCCAAAATGGACGATTTTTTCGGTCATTTCTTTAACTTTTAGATATTTGATTTATGATAAAATTTACAAAATTCTCTCCAGTGTGTGTGTGTGTGTGTGTGTGTGTGTGTGTGTGTGTGTGTGTGTGTGTGTGTGTGTATTTTATCACACATTCGTACATATTCTATGTTTTAAAAACATAAAATATGACAATTATAATAATTGTAAGTATAATAATTATCAGGGCAACCTGGTGATCGTGGTCCTCCAGGAGCTATTGGATCAAAAGGTGCTACTGGAGATCCTGGACGACCTGGACCAGCAGGATTACAGGTATACAGTAATATTTTATCTAGAAATCATGATTCCTCAGTCAATTTGAATTTGAGCAAAAAAATACTAAGATACGTAACACATACTTGATGCACGTAAACAAGTACATAGATCGTGCAATGATGTAGTAGTACTGGACACATAATCGACGACAATATCTAATGTAAGCAGTAGAATGCGATTCACATATTAATTTAATTTTATACATTGAGAAGGATTGTATTACAATATAATATTAGATAATATATATAATACAATATATATAATATATACAATACATATATATATATATATATACATATATACATATTAATATATATACATTAATGTAATATTTCATAAGAAAAATATATGTAAGATATGGCATTCAAATATCAGCCGAGCTTGAATAGTTTCATTTTAGCTTTTGACTTGTTGAATTTCATTCTATCGAGCCATACAATATAGCATTTTTATAGTAAAATTTTAACATTATGTATTGTAAAAGTATTATATTTGATATATAACTATTGAATAAAAAATTCAGGGTGCACGTGGTTTAATGGGTAGGCCCGGAGCCACCGGGAAACCAGGTAATCCTGGGGAACGTGGAATTCAAGGTGCGGATGGCAAGCCTGGAGAACAGGGACTACCTGGTCTGCAGGGTCTACCAGGACCAATAGGATCACCAGGAGAAAGAGGATATTCTGTAATTGCTTAATGATTCTCGTAACGAGTATACAGTAACAAATATAATCTATAATATAACTTGAACATAAAAATATTTTTGTATACAATATAAAAATAAAGCTTAACAATGTAAGTATTAATATAAACATTAATACTATATTATCTCTAATGCTCTGATATTTTTTTCAAACTTTTATTGTATTAGGGAGAACGTGGAAAAGATGGTGAGCCTGGCAATCCAGGTTCACCTGGTCCAAGAGGAGATACTGGTAAAGAAGGACCTCCAGGAGTAGCGGGTCCACCAGGCCCATCAGGAAGCGACGGCGCACGAGGTCTTCCGGGGCCCACTGGCTCTAGAGGTTTTCAAGTACGCAACGTAGAAACATACTGTAATTCTCGTAATGTAGAGGATAAAATATAATTTATTAAATAAAACATGTGCTTGTACATACAGGGTCTTCCAGGTGCCGCAGGTAATCCGGGTGTTCCAGGCAAGGACGGAGAAGCAGGAGTACAAGGACATCCCGGTCCGCCGGGAATGGTCGGCGATAGAGGCGAGCGAGGATTTCCGGGAGAAAGAGGACTTATTGGACCTCCAGGACCTATGGGACCTAGAGGAGAAACCGGAACACAAGGCTCTGACGGTCTTATTGTATGTCTTATATTTCGATTTTGGACATTCATATTGTCTGGAGATGTGTTCCAAATTAAGCATGAAGCGCATGATGTATCATTTATCTCTGTTGCATATTTAATTATAAAAAAGAATAAAATGGTACATCATGCGCTTCATACGTAATTCGGAACGAAGTATATAAAAGCTCGTTCACAAAGTTACAACGAATTAAATCTATAATTGGCAAATTTTATTTCTTAATTATAAAAATTGTATTTGTTTTTATTTTTATTCTTTAAAAAATTAATTTTATTAAAAATAATAAACTTTTAAATTTAAATGTAATTTTATATTTAGTGAGAATTCTCATGAATTATTGATTTGATTCAGATTTTAAACACTTACATTAGCGTATGATAGATTGTATATGTATATTGTATACTGCTTAAAAAAATTATGCATAGAAAAATTTTGGGCAAAAATTGGCCAACTTTGAATGATAATTTTGCGAAAAGTTATCATAGGATAATGTTTTTTTTTAAATTAAAGCTTGAACTCTCTACTTTAAGGCGCTATGGCCAGATTTTAAATTTAATGCACCCCCACCACTGCAATTCTCAAAATATGAGGGTGTATTTGTTATATTAAAAATTGTAAAGTTTGACGGAATACATGAACTTTGTAAAATTTTTTGGGGGAATACCATTTGCAGTAACATAAAGTTTGAATTTTTTTTTAATTTAAAAAAAAGAGCTGCGATTTTTTTTTTCGCAAAGTTACAGCACTTTAAAGTAGCCCTCGTATTTTTGACATGCAATACTGACATTACCTGCGTTACCGAAAATGTATCATGATGAGATTGCTGGATGGATTTTGCACATTGTATTTCTGCGTGTATGTAAATTTCAGAAACACAATGTGCAAAATCCATCCAGTAATCTCGCTGCAGTGCATATTCGATAATGGAAGTAATGTCGATAGTAAATGTTAAAAATGTGTGGGCTACTTTAAAATGTTGTAACTTTGCAAAAGAAAAAAAATACACAGCAACTTGTTTTTTTTTTAATTAAAGGGGAAAGTTCTTTATGCCGCTACAAACGGCATTCCCTTAAAAAATTTTAGAAAGTCTGTGCATTCCATCAAACTTTACAATTTTCAAAATGACAAACACATCCATATTTTTTATATTTTAGAGTTACATTGGTAAAGCTGCATTAAACTTAAAATTTGGTCATAATGTCTCAAAGTAGAAATTTCAAGCTTTAATTAAAAAAAAAAAAACATTATTCTACGATAATTTTTTGCAAAGTTATCATTAGTTATCAAAGTTGGTCAATTTTTGTCTAAAATTTTTCAATGCCATAATTTTTTTAAGCAGTATATATCATTATGAGAAATATATGTATAAAGTTTATGCATTTATATATTATTCCAGGGTTTACCAGGACCCAAAGGAAACAAAGGAAGTTTCGGTTCACCGGGATTATTAGGACTTCCTGGTGCGAGAGGATTACCCGGAGAACCTGGACAGAAAGGAGAAAGGGGCACAATCGGACCAATTGGACCCGAAGGTCCCTCAGGTAGCATTATATGTTATTTATAAATTAATTAAAAAAATTTAAATTAATTTTAATATAAACAATTACAATTTGAAATAGACTAATGAGAATAAATCTAGTTAAATAAGAGAAATGCTATTGTTCGATTGTAACAGATCATGATGATCAAATGTTTCTGTATGAATTTATATACATAAATAATTTTGCAAACCGTGCATCGAAATCTTTTTCGATCTTAAAACACAATCATGAACAGAGAATTAGAATAGTAAAATATCATATACTAAATTGACAAACAATTTAATAATTTTTAGTGCTGATAATAATATAATCATATTATATTAAAAATAATTTTTCAAAAATTAATACTTTTTTATTAATATATTATAGGACACATTGGAGAGCGTGGTCCACAAGGAGAAATTGGACCTCCTGGCTCTCCTGGAGAACCAGCTGAACGAGGTGATCCAGGTCTTCCTGGTCTCATTGGTGAGCCTGGAGCTCCTGGTAATCCAGGAGAAAGAGGACCTCATGGATTACAGGGCTCACAAGGTTTTCCAGGCCCACAAGGGTTAATCGGACTTCCGGGCCTGAAAGGTGATCGTGGATATCCGGGTTTAAAGGGAGAACAAGGAAATCCGGGATTACCTGGTAATAAACAAATAATAAATAATTCTAAATTGTTAATAACTAACATAATTGTAATTTATGAAATATTTTATGTTTTTATTATATATAATTGCTATTACATACTATTATAAACTATACTAAGATGATTCATATCAAAGTGACCGATTTAATTATTATTAGCGAAATTTAAAAATATATGAAAAAGTATAGTTATATCAACGTATCTTCAGTACAAAGGGGGACATCATATAGTGGAAACAATTATTTATTATAAGTGGAGGCATTGGAAACATTCAAGATCAACTTCATTTTTTTTTAATGGAATTTTTTTAATGGAATATGAATTTTTTACACAATATGATTCCTCTACATATAAAAGTATTAAGGTAGAAAATCAATCACCATATTAGAAAATCAATAATTTGTGAGATGTGTTATACTTTATTCTGACACGTAAAATGTTAAATAATTAATGAACTTAATTTTTTGATAATCACACTTTAGTACTTTGTGACCGTACTTAGCATGGCATAACTTCATCGCGTTTTCTCACACAAAAATATCGAGAATTTGATCTTCAATGTTTAAAAAAAAAATATCGTAATTAATCTTCAAGTGACCGCTCAACTGATGAACATCAGACACAAGAAAGCGTATTCTTGCTCGATATTACAGATAATTTGAAAATTGATATTCTTTTGCAATTAAGATCAGATTGAAGATCCTTAAACAGGACTTTCTCTAGCGACGGAGGCAAACCGATTGCTCAGCTAATGTAATCAGTGGGTAATTCGTATGAGTGGGAAGAGTCAGAGGACGAGAGATAGAAGATATCAATCATACAAAATTACATTACATTAACAAATAACAATATTGTATTTGAGAATTACGCGATACAAGACGTTGATTATAACATACGGATCTCGCACAGTTGAATCAAGATTCTCGTTCTTAAGATTATTTTTCGCTCAAAGATTATTTCTCGACTTAATTTCCGAATGAAAGCGAAAAGTTCATGTAGCAACTAATCGTTTCAACCCGAATAAAGAAGACAATAAGACACACTTGTCGTAAGACCATTTATAATTACACGTAATTACAAGAAACGACGACATGATTTACTTATGACGAGAAGAGCAACGCTAAGAATTGTTAATTGCGATACAGAACGATTTAGCTGGATGGTACGCAGCAGCTGGACTCTCGATACTCGAACTGTTTTTCCCTTTGAGGGATGAAAGTATATTTATTGTGCGTTAAGCGTGACCCATTCAGATTTCGCGACACGCTATTGGCCATATATAAAAAAATAATACTCGTCTCCAAAAATTCGCCTCCTCAATCAGATATCTGCTGGTATAGACTCCTCGAAACAATGGCTGTATTCAGTAGAGAAAGCTTTACAACTGTTGTAAAATTTTTCAGTATGATTTATATTTAGATCCATAGTAAACCAACAATAAAAACCAATCGTATTGAAGAATTTTACAACAATTGCAAAGCTACTTTCTCTGTTAAACGCAGCTAATGACTTATACATTTATACGGCACACTTAATCGGGTTTAATAATATCCATAGTTATGAAATTGGCTAATCGTTCCATTCTTCCAAGGAATAGCTATGATTAATACAGATAATATCCGTAATTTGATCCAATTTCATAACTACGGATATTATTAAACTCGATTAAGCATGCTGTGTAACAGAGGTCAATGTCTTCGGAATCCTCGACATCTGCAATCAGCTTGTGTCACAACCAGTTAAAATGTATTATACAGATGAACTAGTAAAGTAGGAGACACACAGAGACCTAATCAAAATTAGGTGGAATTGGATCAGACCCTAATTGATCTAATTTCGATTCTCGCGACCCAGTGAATAGCGTGAATCCATGATATAATCGCGTGACTTTTCGCGATATGGTGCGGGTTCAAATTGCTGGGCAGATTATTATTCTCTCTTATTTTCTCTTATTTTCTTACATGAACGACTCCTCATATGATCTTGAGTTCATATGTCATTGCTCGATAGAACACAGTCCGTCTTCTGCGGTGCTGCCTTCGAATCCTCCGTTGTTTCCTTAAAGAGAATTTCTGGATACCTGACACCTTGTCATGACGTTGTCTTTCTTTACAAAATTGATTTTTTTAAGAAAATTTACAAAATTTCCTTACAAAAGTATCTTCTTCTTTTTTGATTTTGAGTGGCCCTGGTCTTCTTTTCGAGGTTCACTTAGCCAGTTTTCTTCGAGATGTGGTAAACAAATATAAAAATTGGAATGCAATCCACCTCGAACCGAGCAGGTGTAGCAAAAAGAGATAATGCAATCAAAATGAAAATGGAAGGCAGCTCTTCACTGGGGCGACCTGTAACCACGACGAAGGGACTAATAATGTGATACAATTGCATAGTCAAAGCTGGCCACGCTTTTCAAAAATATAATTGAGGTGATGCAACATTCGAAGCGAAACAAGATTCGCATTCGATCTGCTTGAGTGCATCCATGCGATTAAAATTGGTGTCAGTAGTACAAGGCATCACAATCAATGGATGCGAAAAAAAAAGAAATATACGGTCCCGTCTGTGAGTGTTTACTGCTATTGGATGATCTAGAAAAATACACCAATAGCAGCGAACGTTCATGGATCCGCCCCGTAACAGTTAAGTCTAATGAACGCAATCTATAATATGTGCTATAAAATTTGTCACGTCGCATTTTCCAACATATTCCTATCATAGTTCTTACTCACTCCAACAGGCATTGGAGTGAATAAAGAATTATAGTAAAAGCATATTGGAAAATGCAACGTTAGCAAATCTATAATACCATTTTTTTTAGATAGTTTGGTTAATAATTTTGATAAACATCATGATAAAAATGAAGATGAAAATGATAACTTTAAAAAATGTTTGTTTCACTTATCTATTATTTGGTATAAAATTTTATATGGAGAATACTTTTATATTCAATAAAATAAAATCGGAAAATTTGTAAATCCTTAAGAGAAAAAATGAATTTTTTTCTTAAGATTACGATAAGAAGAACGAAAAAAGACTAAAATTGATGATGTTCACTCAATTTATGATTTATATGAAGATTTTTCGATTTTCACTGAAAAATAACGATTCATCATAACTTTAAATGATTTTCTCAGCACATAATTTTTTTTCTTCGTGATTCTATAATACATTCCAAATATTAAATAGAAAACACTACATGAGCCAAATTAGAGGCAAAGAATAGTGTTACTCGTTAGTCATTTTGAGACAAAAATTTTAGTACTAAAATGTCAAGATTATAGTTTTTGAATTATAAGCATTTAAAGTTAGCGAATTATATCGTCTAAAATTTGCGCGTTAAGTGTGATTGACATTTTACGTTGTAAAATAAAATATCAAACACCTAAACGCGCGAACTTTAAGTGATTCGCTAATTTAATTCAATTCGCTTATAATTCCAAAATTATTGCAGCCTCGACATTTTAGTATTAAAATTTTCGTTTCAAAATAACTTTAGGAATCTATTATTAGTAAGTGTTGCGGTACATCTGAGACATCCTCTGCAATAAACTATATATTTTTAATATATTACATACGGATACTAATAATACGTAATGAAATTATTTTTTATTTACAAATGAGGAAGGTAATATTTCAGGTGCACATTTTATTTTTTTAAAACATGTATTATGACTCCCAGTTGACGCGAATCAGCGAATTGCGAGTATCTAAGAGAGATTATCAGTTCTCAATAACAGTTAAATTACGATACAATAAAATTACGAATAGACAGCATGGGTTCAAATTAATAAAAGTTTTTATTATATATGAATTGATTAACAGGTAGTCACGGCGAGATTGGAGCACCTGGACCTATTGGAGTTACTGGTGTTAAGGGAATCAGAGGTGATCCTGGAGTACGAGGTGAACCTGGTTTAATGGGCCCACCTGGTATTATAGGACATGTTGGACCATCAGTAAGTCATTAATTTCCATGAATCATATTAAATTTTAATAAACAGATGTACACGCGCGCGCGCACACAAACACACACACACACACACACACACACACACACACAAATACATACACACACGCACGCACACAACACAAAACAAACACATACATACACGCACACACAAAAAGCATATTGTGAGATAATTAGAACATCGGAGATAAAAGAGTAAATAAAGCATTGGATTATTACTAAAAATATTACAGGGACCACCTGGAAATATAGGACCATCTGGTGCTCCTGGATTGCCTGGTGTCAAAGGTGATGCGGGCGATACTGGACGTCCTGGAAATCCAGGTCCAATCGGTAACCCTGGTCTACCTGGAATCGATGGAATTAAAGGCGAAAGTGGATCTCCAGGCTCTCAAGGACTAACAGGTTCTCAAGGACCTCAAGGTCCGCCTGGCGAAAGAGGTTTACCGGGCCTACCTGGTTCCCCTGGTCCTATAGGGAATAGAGGATTACGCGGAGCTCCCGTAAATAAAAATATATAGTTACACTTAAAGAAAGAAACTTATTGGACTGTATATGTGAATACACAACTAATAAGAATTAAAAACCTTTAACCTCGAAGCTGGGGTGAACTTCCGAAAACGTCAGATGTTCAATTGTCACGAATTTTGGCAAAAATACTCTAAATAACATCAAATGAATGTCCTTAAATGGATTTTCATTGACACAAAGATTTGAAAATCGGGCGTCTGACGTTTTCGGAAGTTTATCCCGAAGCGTTAAGTGTTCAAATAATTCAATACTACAATAATTCAATACATGTCATCATAAAAATTGCACGCCAAATTGATTTTCCAGACTTTTAAAACGCAATTTTGACAGAATTATAGTAGTAATATCATAATTTGATGCTCATAAGCAACTTGGATTAAAAAGATTTTAATAATTTATTTATAAATTTATTAAAATCTATAAATAATTTTATTGCAAAAATATTATTTTGATCGGGAATCGGACCCGAATCTCCCTCTTGCAAGATGAATATCCTTAGGCACCGAAATTTGATAGTCTGTGAGGACAGTTGTAAGCGGAAGATTCGGCAATATATTCGGTAATAGTCATGATGACGTATGATAGTATCGAATTATTTAACCACTTATAGCTTTGATCGTTAAAGCTTTTATTTCTTATTATGTAGTTATGAAATAGTTTAATACAAAATAATTTATTTTTATTACAGGGTGAAATAGGACAACCTGGAAAAACAGGAGTGGAAGGTCCGCCTGGACCTCCTGGATTAATAGGTTCTCCAGGTACTCCAGGTCATACAGGAGAAATAGGACCGGAAGGACCAATTGGAAAACCAGGTCCACCAGGTATAGGAGGTCGACCAGGTGATAAGGGACCACCTGGAGTACCTGGTGCTGCAGGACCATCAGGTCCTCCTGGATTATCTGTACAACTTTTGTTTTATCTTTCTTTGTATAAACAAAGTAATAATAATTATCAGTAATAGTAATAATTTATTCCTCTCCTTTTAATAGGGACCACCTGGACCTACCGGACCTACCGGACTTACTGGAGAACGTGGTCCGAAAGGTGAAACAGGGCCGCAAGGTGTAGAAGGTCCACAGGTAATGGGCTTTCAACTAACTTAATGTAATTCTGATAAGTTTGAAATTAATTAAAATTAAAATTTAAAAAATTAAATTAAAAATATTAAATTAATTTTATACATATATAAATCGGTTTTTAAAAATAAAATTCTTGTAATAACGATATAATTTATGTAAGAATTTCATCTTGAGCACACATACACACGTTCTAATATTTTCAGGGGCCACGAGGAAAACCCGGCCCAGCAGGTCTTGAAGGTATAAAAGGGGATCGCGGAGAAGAGGGACAAAAAGGAGCTAAAGGACATCGGGGATTTACTGGTTTACAAGGATTACCTGGATCTCCTGGTTTAATAGGAGAAAAAGGTATACCTGGTCTACCAGGACTTCCTGGTAAAGACGGAGAACCAGGTATTAGAGGTAATCCTGGACGAGAAGGCAATCCTGGTCCTATCGGACCTGTGGGAAATCCTGGATCAAGAGGTCCACCTGGGGAAGAAGGTCGCCAAGGATCACCGGGTCTTCCAGGACCTCCTGGACCACCTGGTCCTCCTGGAGAAGTGGGTTTCGGTTACGATGCAGCGTCTTTAGCAGCATTTATAGGTATGGCTATAATTAGTCCAAATTCTACTATATTTTTAAAAAAGTTTATTACATGAACATTATATAAAAAACTTCTAAAGAATATCCAGAACATCATCTAGATAAATTTAAACATATGTTTAGATTTTTCTATATTATTTAAATTTTTAAAATATTAAAAATAATTGAATGAAAAAATTTACTTTTATTTAAATTATAAATTATTATAGTTAAATAGTGTTAAAAAATTATTTACTGTATAGGACAAGGCCAAACCAAAGGACCAGATCCACTTGGAGATGAACCACCAAGAATATTTAGTAAAGATATCACTGAAAAGGAACGAAGAGAATTACTTTTGAAAGCGTACGAAAATTTAAAATTGTCGTTCCAAAAATTGATGAAACCGGATGGTGAAAAGAATTCGCCTGCTAAAACTTGTCGAGATCTATTTGCCGCTTACCCGGACAAATTATCTGGTAAATTTAAAAAATCATAGTTACAATTATAACTATTCTTTATGCTTATTTTGATTTTCAAAATTTGTTTTTTTCAATAATAACAATAAAATATATAAAATTATATAAAATAATAGATATATAAAATTAATTAAATTTCTTTTTAGGAAAAATCTTAGTTAAAAAAAGTTTTAATTGAGAAAAGCGAATATTAAAAGTGACAAATGTATAGTATTAATACACATTCTATACTTGAGTATTTAAATAAATTTTTGCATTAACAGGCGAGTATTGGATTGATCCAAATGAAGGAGATATTCGAGACGCGATCTTAGTGTATTGCGATGCTGAGAAACGTGCAACTTGCATTTTACCAAATCCGTCGCGTTCACCAGAAATCACTCACATCACTGATCAACAGGAAACTTGGTTGAGTGAGATAGATAACGGCATGAAGGTTGTATTATATTCTTTATACTTTATACTACTTCTAATTCCGCTTGTTAATTGTTGCAACAAAAAATATACAACGCATTACTAGATAAATAATGATTATAAAATAAATTTAATTATTTCGTACAGATTACATATAAGGCAGATAGTAATCAAATCGGTTTCTTGCAATTGCTCTCGAAACATGCGAATCAGAACATCACGTATCATTGTAAAAATAGCGTGGCTTACTTTGATTACGAAAAGAAAACATATAAAAGAGGCTTAAAGCTTTTAGCTTGGAACGATATTGAATTAATACCGCGAGGTAATCAGCGTCTTAGATATGAAATGATAATGGATGAATGCAGGGTAAGTCAATTTTCGAGCGCAATAGTTTTAATACTACCAATCTATTTGTCAGACGAAGACTTTTTTATGGAGGGTTTTATGGAGCTTTCCACACTCAGAGCTCAGAGCTCTTGTGGGTATTGAATTCCACACTCGAAATTCGGACTAAAATGGGGCTATTAAAAATGTACATTAATTTTTGACAATTTAAAAAAATTTTGAGTGATTTGATGAAAAACAGTATTTGTGACTAAAGTAGAAATATATTTCATATTCATATACAATAAAAGATAAAATATTTATGTTATTTTGAAATCCTCCGCCCGTTTGAATGATTCCCAGAAAAGTAAAAAAAGTCTCCGTCTTTGCTATTTAGATACTCCATTTTCATTTTTAAAACCGATGTTTATAAATAGTCTTAACATTTCAAAATTTGATTTTTATTGATTTTCCATTTTTATATTTAATGTATTAATTATTAATGTATTAAATTTGACTTAAATCATAAAATACAGATGTTCTAATTTAAGAAATACTAAATATATACGTAGAAAATAAACAAAATACACACGCACACGCGCGCGCGCGCGCGCGCGCGCACACACACACACACACACACACACACACACACACACATACATACAATATTATATACACACGACAATATTACATTTTTAAAATAGTTTTATATGTATTTTGTACTCCGTAATTTATTTGTGTATTTATTAATTCGTAGGTTTATCGAAACAAATGGGGTAAAACTGTTGTTTCGTACGAAACGGATAAACCCGTAAGACTTCCTATATTAGACGTGGCTCTACGAGATATTGGAAAACCCGAACAGAGTTTTTCTATTGAGATCGGTCCAACTTGTTATGCTTAAAACAAAGTATGATTTGTGATTTTATTTTTTACTTTATGTTGTAATTTTCCATTTCTTAAATATTTGCCTTCCAATTTTAAGGAATAATTATATACACATACATAATATACACATGCATGTATATTAATTCTGTCTAAAGTGACAAATACTAAAAAATTGCTAAAAACAATTACTCAAAATGTTAGATATTTAATTTGTAATGACTTTGTGTATGTTGCTATTTTTTGCAAATTCTCAAGCAGCGGAGATAATTTAGAAATATATTGGATTGAGTAAAAAGTAATTCTATATTTTTATGTCAAATATTGTTCATACAATATTTTCGATAAAAATGAACAAAATTTAAATTAAAAAAAAAGAAAAGGATTTAAAAATTTGAAATCTTTCCTTTCGAAAAGTCAGATATTTTCTAAGTTTATGTGAGTTGAGTAATTTTTACATGTGTATAAAAAATTACGAGTTGAAAAAGTGGAAAATGTTCTTCTCACATTGTGGATCTGTCACGTGCCCAAAAAAAATTTGAAAAAACTTACAATTATCTAATGAAAAAGCTTAAAGTTTTCCCTAAAAAATTATTAAAAAATGATCCTACATGATTTTGTTATACTGAGTTACTTGTAGATTATATAAAGAGTATTCTGGCTTTTGTTCCTAATTCATGTTAAAAATCATCGTGCTACAATTAAAAAAACAGATTCTTAAAAAGCTAAAATTTTACTCTATCAAATCATATAATTAATTAAAATTTATTTTGTGTTTAAAAAAAAATTATTTTATTTCATTCATCAAAAAGCAGAATGAACTTTTTATTCAAATCAATATATGTAGATATATATGTTTAACATAATTATTTTTAAATTATATTGCATTTTTTATTTCTAGGATGAACGCTAAATTAAAAAAAGATATGAAATTTGAAAAGATATATCGCTCGGATATTTTAAAACCAATTCGAAAAATTCTCGGAGTATTTAAATATTATTTTCAATCAAATATTAAATACCTGAGTATTTATACGTAAAAGTATCCACGCAATAACCAATGAATTTACTGAATACGCACTATGCCAAAGTATTGTGTACATAATGATAAATAAGTTTCATATATGTATAAATACACCGTTCAACTATTTAGGAAAAATAAAATTGTGCATTATCAAAGTTATACTCATTCAATATTCTATTCTTACCTATTATATTATCTTATTGCTTTATATGGAAGCATTTTCCAGCATGTAATTTCTTCTGCCAATTTATAAAGTTTTATATTTATTTTTTCATTTGAAGGCAGAAGTCAATTTTTTAAATTTTATAGCTTTCTAGATAACACGAAGTCTAAAATTGTGACATAAAACGTCTTTAAGTCGTCTTTTACAAAATTTTTAGCAAAAAACGTCTTATGACTCGATTTTAGACACCTTTTATTGCCTGGTTTTTCTTTGAATAAGATTTATTATAATTCATTATTAATTCTATGTATTTCTCGCTTCAAAATATAATTTTATTATTTCAACGCTACATATTACATTGAACAATGATTTTCCTGTCGCATATAAAGATTAACAATATATAATGGAACATGATTTTTTTAATTAAAAAGAACAAAGTTCTTCATTTATCATTTCTTCTTTCATTCTTTTCTATCTTTTTTTTTCGAAATATGAACGAATGCTTATTTCATTCTCACAATCAGTACAGGAAATATATGAAAGAATATGCTAAAAGAAATATTCATTTTAACTAAAAGTACATCATGCAATATATTTTATGTGTAAACTATGTTATCTACTGAATAAGTTCCATTTGATCACGAATCCGACCATCCCAGCAACGTATCTATATAGCTATATAGCTATATAGCTATAATAGCTGCTACTGTTGACGCATGCGTGAATGGAACATTCCTCACATCAAATACACCGACCAATGCTGTATCAAAACAGTTTGGCACCTGGTATGAAAAATCTGATATGTATAATATATATATAATTTTATAAAATCTATATTTACAGTTACTTTCTTGAATTGAGGCTTCATTTTATTCAGTATAGTGTTGTGGCAAAAATATTTCCAAAATATTATTTATTTATATCTTAACTACTATATATTGTCTAGTAAACATATGCACATATATATATTTTTAGCATTATTAAAATGTATCATAAATATTGCCATATATTAATAAAAAAGACAAAACTCGGACCTCCTTTTTACTTATATTAAATATTCTATACAATGGTTAGATATTATCTATAAATTATGTATGATACACAATTTATAATTATAATTTATAATCATATTACAACTCTTTTTATGATATAAAATATCGTTATGGCTACGTTAAGACGAACAAATTCAATATTTGATGTCATTCTCTACTGTGCGCTATTCATGCTGTGACAATATTTGATGGCGAAAGGAAGTAAGTGACAACTGCAAAATGCGAGTGGCAGTAGGGCACCAATAACTCCCAACAGTCTCAACTCCCATCACTTCAGTCTTCAGTCATGTTCAGTGGTTCAGTTGTGCTTTGAGCTCCGATCTATTCTATTGTTACCCGTCGTGTCTGGTGAAGAACGCGATTGAGATCATTCAGTAACAAAAGAAAAACGCGAATCTCAGCGTCAACGTCATCGATGACATATTCGCTCGTGGTTAATCAGATTCCCAGGTATGCATCTCATACCGAAATACACGTGGCAGTGTTTTTTGCTTCGACCGCGCGTCTGCCGGACAGCCGTACCTTTATCGATCCTTTAAAGCCGTTTTCGCGCGCAATTTTCCCACGACAAGTATGGGATAAAAGAAAAATTCGGTCGTGAGTTAATAAGATCGAAGTTGATCCTATTCGAGTTCGTCTTCGAGTCGCCGCTGACTCGTAAATGAAAGCCTTTTACTGCTTATTGTGACGTCAGTAGTTCATTGTATTCAATCGTCATTGCCCTTGGCGACGAAAGAATTATTTGATCATTTCAAAACGATGCTGTTTAGAGCGATAGATATATTAGATATGTCCTTTCAAAGAAATTTCAATTGCTATTAATTAAAAGCATTTAGCTTTTTTAATAAAAATATTTAGAATATAATATAATATTGTATACAATTTATATAATTGTAATATTACATAATTGTAATAAATATTTAATATAACTTAATTATAATTTATAATAAAATAAATACAAGAAATAATATATATTGAATAAGAAAGATTCATTGAATAATTACAATAATAAAATCGCGACGATTAATGACGTCTGTGAAAGAAATAATAAGTTTATAATTGAAAAAAAACATAATTTTCTTCAATGTGACTTTAACAATAAATCAAACTGTCATTTGACGACGTGATGTTTACCGCTACATTGACATATCCGGTTTTGCAGTGTAAATTGACTCATAAGTGATAATGTGTACTATATTCTGTATAACAAACAAAATTAGAAAGACAACTCTGCCAAATTCAGAAAATTCACGCATGTCATAGAAGAGGTGTGACTTATCAATCTGTAGTCAGACTATTCATAAATACTAAATATAATGAAAATACGCCTCGAGTATATAAATTTATCTTACATGTAATTATACTTGTTGCCGTTCATCTGTGTGAAAGACATGCCTCTGTACGATATCAGATATAATTTTAGAATTGCAAACGTGACATTTTCGATACTAATAGGATTTTTTTCAAAAAAATAGAAGACTAAAAAATGCAGAATACTATTTCAGGGGAAAGCAATAACGAGAAAATATAATAAAATATAATAAAATTATATCAAATTTTGCATTACACATATATAAATTCTAAATATAAAATTTTTACGAATACTGATAAATTATTTTAAAAGAAAACAATAAATTTGTTTCTTTTTAAGAACATGTATCACGAAAAATACCAAAAGTTATTTATAAATAAATTTATTTATAAATAAAAATTGCAAACTTATCATTGAATTTGGACACGAATTTTATTATTCGATTTTTATACTTTTTCTATAATTTTTTAAATAATTATTATCACATAATTAAAACATACCATTAATGATGTAATATTTCTTGCAATTGTACGCTTATTGTGTAAATTAGATAAGATCGTATATAATTGCTTTTCGTAGAAGCGGAAGCTTGAACAATTCTTGAAATATCTAACATGATTCTTTGACGAAAATTCGAAAATTATTGCAAGTGGCGCAGTTGTAGAATTATCTGTCATAATTTGATCAATAGCTTTTCTTACGTGATTGAAATAATATATTTTTACAAAAATATCTGACAATATAGACAGTTGTGTGACGAGTGTCATAACGTGTCATGGAATCAGCGAGTTGTGATTAACTTTATCAACCGTCTGTAGATACGTATTGAAGTGATTCACACATTTGCAAGTTAAATAATGTTTGTAAATGTAAAATCTATCCGGAAGTTAAGACAATTTGAAGTAAAGTGCTTCCTATCATTGATAATAGAAATATCAGACACAGACAGCGATTAGTGGGAGATATTCGATAATAGAAAAATTTGTCAATATTATCTAATCTTCAAGGAACTTGGAAGAAAAAAATTTAAATTGATTGTTTTAATTTAAAATTACGTTTTTTCTTTTTCGAATTTATTATGTTCAAATTTAAGTAATTTATATTTTTTTAAATGTTAATTTTATTTGAGAAGTGATACACAAAAGATTAATGATAAAAAGAATATTGAAAAGAATATTGAAATTAATAAACGATAATGAACGATTACAACAGTTAAAATAGCTTTTTTTTTATTTATAACGTACGAATTAAAATATACGAATTAAAATTTGCAAATTATTGTTTTGTAAATATAGTATATTAGTAGTTATACATATGTAGGTATTAATAATTACTACTTTAGTGACTAATTACTCCATGTGGCATTTCTTATACTTGTTTACACGATTGTAATTAAAGACGAGGATTTGTATTTCCGTATGACATTACACAGCGCTTAGACAGTAGACAATTCGCTTGATTTTATGTTTTTCTT